TAGAGAGATAGAGAGATAGAGAGATAGAGAGATAGAGAGATAGAGAGATAGAGAGATAGAGAGATAGAGAGATAGAGAGATAGATAGATAGAGAGATAGAGAGATAGAGAGATAGAGAGATAGAGATAGAGATAGGATAGAGAGATAGAGAGATAGAGAGATAGAGAGATAGAGATAGAGATAGGTTTCCCTATATATATAAAAACTAGTACTCTGAAATGATAGCTTAATAACTTAGGGCCTCTTTTTTGTAGTACTGTGTAATCAATGGACAAACGCCTTAATTAAATTAAATATTGCCTTTTACAATAACAATAAATTGCAATCATAAAAAAACACCCTCAAACCCTCCAAGGACGTTAAGTTGATTACCGAAAGGCATTGTACATACTTAGGTATCACATAAATTCAAAATAATTATAATTTGCAGTTCTGCGCATACAATTCGCACTCCACCACTCTGTTATGAGGGCAAGCGCGTATCGTAGCAATTTTTCAAAGGCACACTCAATTGCATTTTACAAGCCATAAGCTTAACTTATTCACACATACAAACTTATATTCAGCATTCCGAATCACAAATCCCAGAACAGTAAGTTCAAATTTGTTGTGAATCCGCGTGTTTTAATAGGGAATTTCGACTGCCCAAAAGTTTATTTTTATGATGCGTATGCGCAATGAATTTGTTCGTAGAACAATTTATACTTTTCTTCTCTTTCACATTTCTTTACAGCTATAATATCGTTTTTATGATACTCACGTACGTACTGCCCATCATTTCGATGACATTCACTTATTCACGAGTGGGCTTTGAGCTTTGGGGCTCAAAAGCAATTGGCGAACATACACCGCGACAGGTAGAGAATGTCAAAAGCAAGAGGAGGGTAAGTAGAAGATCTGGAAGTTGTTAAGAGAATTTGTTTAAGTAAATTTTACTTTAAAGGTTGTATAAGCACAGAGGATTCTTGCTTTTACTTACATATGCACATATCGTCGTTTAAAGTACAAACTCGCGTAACCGAAAAATGCAAAACCGCGTATGTGAGGTTGCATAAATTATTTTCTAGCGAGTAAAAACACTCATATTTCAAAATGGTTCTTTTTTTTAAAACAAAGCAATCGCATTTCTGGGCTAGTATATTTCAGGACGAATGGATAAGCATTGAGCCAAGAGCTTGTGTGAGCAAATCTAATTTTTTGCAGCAACTGTTAGTTACGCGGTTTTATACTTTAAATGACGATTTGTAGATATATAGCGAAGCAAATATCCTCTAGTAAAATCTATATGCACATACTTAAAAATTAAAAACAAAAAGAAATTTTCAAGCAAAAAACAAAACCGACTTCAATTCTGATATAAAAATTTAATTTCTTAATAATCCCATGATCGGATCTAAACCAAATGAGTATGGGACCACAAGGTCTGGGGTAAGACCTTTCCTTTGAAAAAATCGAAATCGGTTAACGTGGTCCAAAAATATGTGGTAACATACATCTAAAAAAATATATTAAAAATTTTCCGACGAATTAATAACCTTCTGCTTTTTTGACATTTAACGAGTATGTACGTTAGGGTGGTCAAAAAATGCAAGTGAATATAGTAAAGTCCGAATTTAATTGCTCTCATCGCCTAGGCATGTTCCATATCGAAAAAGTAGACCCCTGTTTTTATATTTTTGGTAAAAAATATACCAGCGACTACGATTTCTATAATTTTTTTTTTAAAGGAAAGATGTTTCCTCACAGGTAGTCTCATACTAATTGTAGATCATTGGATCATGAATAAATTAACGATAATCTAAAATGTTTATATGAGAATTAAAGTCGGTTTTATTTTTAGCTTAAAAATTACTCTTAGTATTCTATAAAGTTTTAAACTTAGAATTATATGCATTTTAATTGAAAATTCTTATTCGATATATTTAGGGCTTCCGTTATAATTACAATCAAAATTACAGATATTGTTAATAAATAGTAGTACATATTTACTCTTAAAACGTTAATATTTCTGTGTTCGTATGGAATGGTAGCTTATGTCGGGAAGTTGGCTTTAGTATACTGCGGCATTCCCTTTATTCTTTCAACGACAAGGAATACTTTGATGAGTCGTAATAAGAATATTCACTTCCTGGTATCAGAACTATTTCTTGCACGTTTAGTTGCCAAAAGTTCCAGCCTTTCGTCGTCAGCTACTATTCAATACGAACACAGATATACATACATTCCATTCCTTAATTATGCATACATATTCTACAATTTTCTTTACATCATTTATCACTATTGGGTACTCAATTAAAGACACTTTCTTTCAGGTGGTCAAAATGATGATGGTTGTTGTGTTGATATTTGCCGTTTGTTGGCTGCCTTTTCACACATACTTCATTGTCACTTCATGTTATCCGGCGCTGACAGAAACACCATTCATACAAGAAGTTTATCTGGGCATATATTGGCTAGCCATGAGCAACTCCATGTATAATCCGATTATTTACTGTTGGATGAATTCGAGGTATGTATGTACATATGTCCATAGGTACCTATAAGGATAAGCATACATATGAAATGCATCTGATTCAAAATATACAACATGAGGATACCTATTCATACACACATACTTACACAAAGAAACATTTTTATCCCTGCAAGATAAATTCAGTTGAATGAAAGTGAAAAGAGTTTGATTTATGTGGTTTGGTTTATTCTAAGAATCAGTCGGATTGTCATTTGATATTCCTTAGTGTCAGTGTAAAAGTTACGAAACTAAATCGTTATCACTGCGGCTGGATGTTTCACTTCAACCCGAGGCAAGAAATTTATGCTTTTACAATCGTATGTGTATCAGGGTGGTCCAAAAATGCCTGTGGGGGAAAAAGTAAAGTCAGAATTTTGTTGCTCTCACCTCTAGGATTGTTCTATACCGAAAAAATTATACCCCTATTTTTTATTTTAAAATCAAAAAACGTTTAAAGGTCGCTCAAAGCGACCAAAGTTTTCCATGTATTTTGTATGGGGAAAAAACAACTTTTCGTAGATCTGGTATAGAATTCTTAAAAATCAATATTTTTCTATCGCAAAACTCTATATCTGTGCAACAGATTCCCAATAAAAATACTCAATTGTTTATTTAATAATTTTTTCATCGCAACTATAATTTATAGGTCCACCAAAACCCACAAAATCCCCGAAAAATTCAAAGGAGGGAACAATAAAAAAATCGTTAGTTTTAAGAAATGGTTAAATAAACAATTGGGTATTATTAATGAAAGTCTCCTGAAGACAACCAGATCTTTCCGATCGAAAAATATTGATTTTCAAGAATTCTATACCATTTCTACGAAAATGGATTTTTTCCCCATATAAAAATACATGGAAAATTTTGAGCGCTTTGAGCGACCTCCAAATATTTTTTGATTTCAAAATAAACAAGTAAGAAAGTCTAAGTTCGGGCGAAGCGGGGTATTTAATCCGCGCAAGTATTAAATATATGTTTTTTCACCTTTCCGAAACCTTCCGCTAGATGGTAAGCCGGGGTGTATCAATTTTGAGTAAATTAGCGTCCTTCAATTTCGAAATATTGAAGTTTCAAGCATTTCTGAAATTTACCGTTATATGAGAAGCGGCCGTTATTTTAGTCCGATTTCAATAATTTTCAACGTTTTGCTTATATGTGGCAAGCACAATAACCACACCGAGTTTGGTACAAATTGGTAGAACGGTTACCGATATACTTATATGTGATCATAAGTGGGCGGTGCCACGCCCATTTTCCAAAATTTTACCATAAACGTATTTCTTGGTAAAGAATTGTTGCAAGCATCAATTTTGAATAAATTAGCTTCAATATTTAATGATTTATCGAAGATTTTGTATTTCTCTAAATTACCGTTATATGGGATGTGGGCGTGGTTATTGTCCGATTTTAAAAAGTTTCGGCGGTTTTTTATGCTGTACCAAGGCCAACAACTGTGCCAAGTTTGGAAGAAATTGGTGCAGCGGTTACCAAGATATACACATGTAACCATAAGTGGGCGTGGCTACGCCCATTTTCCAAAAATTTATAATATTCTTATTTTTCGTCTAAAAATTATTGTAAATATCAATTTTGAGTGAATTATCTTCAGTAGTTACTAAAATGTCGCAGTTTTCGTATTTCTGGAAATTACCGTTATATGGGAAGTAGGCGTGATTAAAGTCCGATTTCGCCCATTTTCAATACCAACCTACCTTGGATTAAGGGAAACCTACATACCAAATTATCGTTGAGATATCTCAATTTTTGCTCGAGTTATCGTGTACACGGACGGACGGACAGACAGACATGGCTTAATCAATTTCTTTTTTCATCCTGATCACTTATGTATACATTTGTCTATATCTATCTCGATTCGTTTTGGCTGTTACAAACAACCGTTATGTGAACAAAATTAATATACCCTTGTGCACAAGTGCGCTCGGGTATAAAAAATAGGGGTATACTTTTTTCGATATAGAACAAGGGTGAGAGCATTACGATTCGGAATTTACTGTTTTTGGGCCACCCTAATGTTTATACATATCAGACTTAAGTGTGATTAAATAAGCAGAAACTCTCGTCTATTCTTGAAGATGCCATTTATACACAGCTATTGAGTGTAAACTACTCTATTTTTATGGTACTACGGCCTTTACATCACAAAACATAGACAAAAAGCTACCTTGAGCTGTCCGGAAGTAGTTACCCGGTTGCTTCAAGAACTATACGTTTTCAAAATCCTAACTTATACCTGATATTATGCATGTTGAGCTACGACATTCCTCTGTCAGTAAATTCGTTTGACATCTCAAGGGCAAGTGAGGTGATAATCTACTATGGAACATTGCCTTTTCCAGCTTGCCCAAAGAGATGGAAATCTGATGAGAATAGCTGGTAACGGACAAACACCTAGGGATCCTTACTAATCACGAAGCTCGACTTTTTACATCAGCCCAGCTCTTGGAGAAGACTGTACGAGCTAGGGCTTGACCCACAGACAGGCTACTAAATTTGAGACGCAGAATCGTTGAGCTAGTCTTCGAAACTTGAAATTCAATTCGTTCCTACACTATAAGTAGGTTGATATCTGAAGACTGGTATCATTGCATAAATCTCAATGGCAGTAGTAAGGAAAAATCCACTCAATAAGTAGGTAGACATCAAGAAAACGATCAAGTCTCACGTCTTGCTTCTCTGCTGATAACGTTCGCATTGGATCGTTTAATATGCCATTGAATCGTTTAATACACGGCTAAACTTTCTTCCGATAAATCCAAACGCAATAGAGCTAGCTTCTGACTCTGCTAGCAGAGTTCTCGCGGTTAGGATCAACTTCATCCATAATTGCAAAATTATAACAGTTCTTGCAACAAGCTAAATAAGTCATGCCAGCCCGAACAGCCAACGCCAAATTCATTTCCTGGTTTCCTGCAATCTTTAATGGAAAAAACCAAAAAACTCGGATGGGTCAAAACTTGATAAGAGTGTTGGAGGTGGTGACTTCTTAGTTAGGCATATGTGGGCAATTTTTATTGCCAGCAATAAGAAACCGAGTCGTCCTCGGCAACAAATTTATGGCCACCATATCGATTGTTTATTACCAGTGTACACAATTTTGCGATAATTTTTCATGTTTTTTCTGTTTTTTTTTTGTTTAACCGACTTCACAAAAAGGAGAAGGTTATAAATTCGCCGGAATGTTATTTTTTTTATGTATTTTGCCGCATAACTTTGGACCACGTCAACCGATTCCTTTTCTATCGCAAAGTTGGTCCCATACTAATTTATTAATTAGATCCGATCATTGAATTTTGAAGAAATTAACGGTACTCCTAAATTTTGATATGAGAATTGAAGTCGGTTGTGTTTTTTCTTAAAAATAACTTGTCCAGTCCTACCTTTGGTGTAAAGTAAATGCTTTTGCAGAATACTGTTGACGCGAAAATAATTAGTTTGGAAATTTTTGATGGCCCTGCATACGAAAGTACGATTTTTTTTACGAATCATCAAAGAAAATTATAGGAAGTGGTTGACACGAACTCGTAAAGAAATTTCTGTACGAAAAATAAAGAAAATTTTGAGAAAATTCTACAAGAAATTCCTTACATAGCAGCATTAGTTTCCGTGCTTTACCGATTTTCTTCCGCAATTTCGTAAAAGAATCGAAGTGTGCACAGTTTATTTCATTTTAGAAAATTCTACAAAATATCGGATGAAAAAATGGTTTGCAGGCATGGGCGTAGCCAGGTAGGGGCGGGGGTGCTCGAGCCCCCCTTTCAAATTTTCCTTATATATATATAAATTAGTACCCTGAAATGCCAGCTTAATAGGGTCGAGCCCCCCCCCCCTTAATTTCATTCTGGCTACGCCGATGTTTGCAGGGAACATATTATTCCAATAATGCATGAAAGAAATAAAGTCGCCGATTTGGCGATTGTTGCCCATTCGTCATGGTGGGATCTGTTAGAATTTATGGCCTTCTCAAAGGTACAATGTAATATGACTCATTGTCATGATTAGGGGGGTTGCGATAACAGTACTTAGAATTATATACTCGAGTACCTATTTGGCCAAAAGTACCACTCACTTTTGATAGGATAAAGCGCATAAAAGTAGAGAACAAAAGTACTAACGAATTAAAGAAATTTTCGGAGCCAGCCTATGATATTTGGAAGCATCATTGAGAAAGATAATCCAATACTTTGTTTGTCAAAAACCCTGACCAATGACTAACTAGATCATCTCAAAGCAGTCTGTCTAGATTTTCACTAAGCTCCAAGAGTTTAAGTGAATCCGGACCCTGATTCTAAGTGAGTTTTTTTACAGACTGTCGCCTTACTTGTTCTATGACACTCGAAAGTCTAAGTAGGAGTGAACATCACTTTAAAAATAATGGATTTCCCCACTGGCACATCATTTTATACGCGTATATATTTTATGCTAAGTGCATTGGTATAAGTACACATTTTATGTTACATACCATGCATGGCTTTTCAGACATGACCTGCAACACTCACATCAGTACGCATTTATGTATATTTATCTCTTTTCAGATTAGCAACATTGCCATCTATTCAGAAAAGTTCAAAGTACTCGTAATTGTGAGGCTCGTTAACATTATAAAGTTAAACCACTTTTGTGTGCATACCTTTACAAACAATTTGCCTACATATTTGTGTATATACATATGTACATATGTACTTAAAAATATGTGGACGAAGTACTAAGTATGCCTAGATCTTTGCACTTTAATAATACAAATTTTCCATTTTACCATGCCAGTCGTATGTTTATATTACATCGATTATTTAAATACACATACATATGTACACTGAAAATACGCCTCCCATTGGTGTAGGTTGAGTATAATGGAGAAATATGGCCATTCAGTTGGGCACCAGAATATTGTACGTAATACTCTACTGCTATTATTAGGTTTTCTTTTCATTCATAGCAAACTGGAAAATAGGCAAACTAATTTTTTTTTTACGAAATTT